ATAGACCTACAGATCGAACCCCTGCTGCCTATGGACCTACGACAGACCTACCAACTGTCTGCGAATACACAGGTCACAGGTTCAATTCTCGGGATCTATACAGATATTGTACATAGGTAGGGTGAGGTCTAGGGATCGAACCCTGGGTACTGCATCCGCTACTGCTAAAAGGTGAAAACCGTTTCACTCCCGCCGTCCTAAATTCGAGGTCCTCCGAGAACATTTCAGTCCAAGGCGGGACCTTTACCTTTCTTGTCACGTTCATAGGCCTTGACTATGTCGGGAGCGGTTTCTAGAAGTTCTGTTTTCGTGAACCAGCGGTCGTCTTCCGGTTCCTGATAAGCAAAACGGACCTTATATTGTTTCTGGGGACGACCTCTACCTCCTGTTCTGAACACATCCTCATCTACAACGCCTTCAACGTCATAACTTCCATCCATATCCGGGGGGATCATCGATCTTCTGGAAGGGAACTGTTGACATGTGACACACGGCAGCAGCTTTGAAGCATGAAACACAGGGTATGTGTGGAGGTGTGCTGGAATCTCAATGCTCTAGGACGGTCCATCCTCTCCGCCCTCCACTTCTAGAACCGGCCACGGTCCTCTATATGCGGGCAGTAACTTCTGCGAGATGTTTTCTTCAGGTGCAAACTCTTTAGCCTTGACCCAGACTAAGTCGCCTACCTGAAACTGCGACAGGCGGCGGTGCTTATTAGCTTGCTCTATCATCCTATGCTGGGCCTTCCTGAGGTTTTCAACAACAGTGGCTAGTTCTTTCTCGTGCTGTATCGCAAACTCCCTGGTACCGGGCAGTAGTCTGTGAATCTGATCCTGGTTCAGTCCTTCGAACGGTCTGCGGGGTCTAAAGGACTTATGCAACTCATTGGGAGTGCGGCAGGTGGATAGATGTACGCTGTTGTTGTAGGCACTAGCTACCTTAGGCAACATACCAGTTAATCTGATCTGGTCTAATGTACATGCGCAAAACTTGCTGTATGATCTTGTTCATCTRTTCTGTCTGACCGTTAGTCTCTGGGTGACGGCCAGATGACATTAACAACTTAGATCCGTAAACTCTCATGAGTTCTTGCCAGTTCTGGCTGGTGAARCGACTATCTCTATCACTAACTATTGACAATGGGATTCCGTTCTCACTAACCCAAAAGTCAAAAAACTTCTGTATTACTAGATCTACGTGCCTCTGCAGGCAACGGAACAAAAACTGCATACTTACTAAAACGGTCAACTATGACCATGACTTGGCTCTTACCATGTTTGCTCTTGACTTGGGTGTCCATGAAGTCAATGGACACTGAGTCTCCCGGCTGATCCGGAATAGGCAAGGGTCTGAGAAGACCTAGGGGTGCGCGTGTTGTAGACTTATTCCTTTGGCACACTTTACAACTGCGGACATACTCTATGCAGTCATTCTTCATTCCGGGCCAGCTATACGCGCGCATTAGATTGGCTATTGTCTTTTGCCAACCGAAGTGTCCCTCAGTATCGTGGCATTCCCCTAGGATCAGACTACGAATCTCTTCGCTGTTGGGAACACACAGGCGGTCAAACACATTAGTCTTCTCAAACAGCAACCCGTCTGTAGTGCGGTAATCCGGTTCGGTCTCTGGAGCCTCTCTAACTCTCTTTAGGAGGTCGCTATAGATAGGGTCCTGCGCATACGCTTGCTTCACTTTCTCCTGCAGGTCTCTCCCTATATCCAGATAGTGTACTACGGCTCCAAAGTAGTCTGATCTCCTACTCAGAGCATCCGCGACTACGTTGTACTTGCCCTTCACTGGCTTGAGCTCAAAGTCGAATTGGTCTATCTCTGCGGCCCACCTAGTCAACTTAGGTGTCATCTTGGCCTGAGTCTTTAACCATCAAAGCGTTTCGTGGTCCGAATATACCTTGAAGTGCCTCCCAAGCAGGTAGTGCTTCCAATGGTCTAAAGCCTGCCTGAGAGGCCTAAAAGGCTCCAATGGAAGGGCCTAAAAGGCTCACAAATATTTTGGACTCTCACGAGCAAGGCGGATGTAACCAACTGCCGCGTGGCAACTGTCTGGCGCCGACCAAGATTTGCAAAAATTGTCGATTTCAGGGCGCATTGAGATTCAGGGGCCTGCCCTCACTTAGGGCGGGCATGCGCCTGCTGCAGGGCCCTATGTCGAGGCGTAGACTTTCACACTTCCCTCTTTATTCACAAAAAAAAAAAAAAAAAAGTTGAATGGCTGAACCACAATCAATGTCCAAATCTCTCTTCTAGTATAGGTACAACACGAGGTCCGCCATAGCCATGGCCACCCTTCTCCTTCATCTTCATGTACGCCAGGGCTATGGCGGACTACAAGGGCCTTGACCTGCTGTGCAAAAGACAACTAGAAGCAGCTATGCCGACTGCTGTTCAGGCCGCCATGCCTGACTCTGCCTTGAAGCCTTCTTGGAAAGGCGCAACCCCAACTGGGGCCTTCTAGATGCAGCGCCTAACAAGGTGATGAAGATGGCGCCCACCATAGCCAGGTAGGTAACTCGCCACTCTCCTCCCCAGCCCCCTTCTTCCTCCTCCTCCCACCGGTAGAGCTCCACCATAGCCAAGGTGGAAGCTCCCGGTCTCCTTCCTCCTAGCAGCGCTGTAATGCCCAGCGCTCCTGCTCCCACCAGCGCTCAGTCCAGCGCTTGCTCCAGCAGTATGTAGCCCAAACTTGCATACCGCAAATGAGGAAGAGCTCTTGGCTCTCCCTGGAGATATATTGAGGCAGCAGCCTCCTTGGGCGGTGACTTCCAGGCCGTGCGGCCTCGAAGCAAACGGTACCTCCTCCCTTTCTGAGGGAAACATCACTGCAGGCTCTGATATCGTCTGCACAGGCCCTAGACTCAGGGTACTTGGACCGGTGGCAGCATAGACCTAGCCTACCAGCTACTGGGCCTCTAAAAATGCCAACTTTTGTCTTCTTCTGCTCGGCCTTCAGTCCCCGACACATTTTCCGCTACTTGAGTGGTACCAGCCTACCTGCTACTTGATTGTTTTTCCTACTGCTCTAAGTGTCGTGGGCCTACTACTCCTACTGGTGTTTTCCCTGCTGCAACCCTCAAAGTCACGACCACAGGTAAGTACCGGCCCTACAGGGCCTCCCAAGCAAGCAAGTACCCTTGCGCGTCACACACACACTCAGGCCGACAAGCACTCAGACAGGCACACAGACCACCAAGCACGCACACACACACAGCCTTAGAAAACTCAGCAGAATGCGGGAATCTCAGCAAGGCATCCATTCCAGCAGCAAAACTCAGAAATCAGCAGTGTTCTCAGTCTGTGTTTTGGCAGGTCATTACAATTATTGTCAGAGGACCTTGATTGCCAGCAATAAGGCACTAGGAAGAAACAATCTCTCAGTGGAGTTGGAAGAAAAATGTATGAGACACAGCTTGCATTTGAAATGCCAGTGGAATGCAGACCTGAACTGATTTGCCCACAAATTGATCCCCATTTTCTCGGGAAGCTGTTTGTCTTCCATGTGTGAAAGCAAAATCTCACAGAAAATTGTAAAAGATGGGTAAATTTTCACAAATGGGGACGATAGGAGAGAATAGGACTAACAATAAGGTGTGCTCGGGCATGGACCGGATTGTCACTGCATTCCCGGCGATGATGATAATCTCCCAGCATTCCTTTAGCAAGCTGACGCACCAAAGGGTTGAGAACCACCGCTCGTACCCCACCTTTCCTTGCAGCAGCATGGAGAAACCGCTGCTGATCTAATGGCTTGCCACGTGTTGCGACGAGAGTGGCACCTGACGAGTCACTAATGAAATTGTGAGTGTACCTGCACACAGTGAAATCAAGGGGCTCATCCCTTTGACATTCAGGACTCGGCATGAGTCATGAACGGACAACTGAAGAATAAGGATTGGTCCTAATCCCTCACCAAAGAAGGAGGTAAGCAAGGCATGCAACACGACTTCCAGTGGCCAAGGAGATGAAGTGAACACCTACAGCAATCCAACATACACCACAAGCCAGGAGAGGAAAGGCAATTCAAGGCATTCCAAGTTTCCAACACGATTTCCAAAAGCGAAGAAGACAAAGGACACACCTTTGACAATTCAACATACAGCACATGTCAAGAGACAGGCAAGGCATGCAACACTAGCCAATCAGACCAAGAGCATGCCTGCAACAGTTCAGCATACAGTGCCATACACCACAAAACCAAGGCCTTATCGACCACACGGTCACACTTATAGGAGGGTGACAGGGGTGAGTACAGAGATGGCAGTTGTCCACAATACACAAGAAGAGGCTACATCAAACCATTCTCATCGAACTTCTGGCCACTGTCGCCCAATTGTGCACAGCTTTCTGGTGATGGACAACAATACGAACAAGAGGAAATAGGAAAAAAACTTGATAAAAGGAGGTTTCTTTTCTCCCTGTAAAGACGGCACTCCCAGAAACACCCACACCCACACACACACACACACACACACACACACACACACACACACACACACACACATGCCCACGCTTTCCGTGTCAGAAATAGAACAGCACTTGTTGTTTGTGGTCTCTATACTTATCTTTACACAACAGATGGCACATAGCGCCATTAGGTGGCCACTATCCCTATGGGCACTAACGCCAGACCAGAAATTGCCAATCTCACACTCCACTGGAACGATGTAACAAGGGGGAGACAGGGCAGCGAGGCTGGGAGAGGGAGGGAGAGTGAGAGCACACACACACGCTCACTGAACTCGACGCAGACTCAACACGACTCGACGGACGCAGACACAAAGTGGCAAAGTCGCAAAGTCGCAGTCTTGAATTCCTGAACACAACGTCAAAGCGTAGTCACACTGAACATAAGCAATGAGGCTGAAAACTGGTTGCCCGTACTGGGCTTGAGTCTGGTCTTAGGTACCGGATTCAAGTTCAGTCCCAAGGGCAGAAGTGCAAATTGCCTCAGGGCTGAACTGAAAATCGGAGGTCTGAGTCTGGGCGTCAGAATGCCAGATGGCGCCAAGTATCGAAATCCGAAAGTGCCAAAAGAGGAATTTGAGAGTGGGCGCCAACTGCAGAGGGCGCCAACGGTCAGGGGCCTGAGAACAGAGACCAAAAATGAAATAGCAGCCTGGCGGATGATAACCCGCGGACCAGGGATCGAGCCCTGGCTGAGTCCGTAACACTATCCCCTCCCTCTGGAAGGCAACGTCCCGGCTGCCAAAGACCTGATGAACAACCGTGAAGGACGGGACGGGGCTGATCACTGGTCAAAAAAGGAAAGGGGGAGTAATGCAAGTAACCGGGTAATTGAGGTGCTACAAGGCTGAAGTAACAGGTAACAGGGCAATACTATTGATGTTCTACGGGGATGAGGGAATCAATGCTCAAGTAACAGGGTAATCCTATTGAGGTTCTACAAGGTTGAGGGTAGCAATGTTCAAGTAACAGGGTGATCCTATTGAGGTTCTACAAGTAACAAGGCAGTCCTATTGATGCTCTACAAGGTTGAGGGTAACAATGTTCAAGTACCAGGGTGATCCTATTGAGGTTCTACAAGTAACAGGGCAGTCCTATTGATGTTCTACAAGGTTGAGGGTAGCAATGTTCAAGTAACAGGGTGATCCTATTAAGGTTCTACAAGTAACAGGGAAGTCCTATTCAAGGATTGGGGAAGACGTCCTTAAATTTTGAGAGGAGAGAGGTGATGCGAGGGTCGGAGGGGGGGGGGTTGGTCGGTTTGTCCATTGGAATCAAGTCCTCAGGATGCTCGAGGTCGATGACGAGGCAATAGTAGGTGGAGTCAGGATGTTGGCGAGACATGTGGAGGAATTGGTGGGGGGAGACGGGGGGTGGGGAGTTAGGGGGGAGAATGTAAGGGATGTCAATGGTAGAGTTCGGAGTAGAAGAAAGGCAGACGAAGGAGGGATAAAAAGAGTAGGGCATGTGGCGATCAATCCAAATTGTTCCCAGGACGACGTCACACGTGAGGTGCATGACGTCGAAGGAGATTTGTATGTGGAGAAAGCCGACAGTCATGGTGACCTCGAGAACTGTGCGATCGACAATGACGGCTGAGTCTTTGTCCCCTAAGTGAATGGTGATCGGGGAGTCATAGCCGGTTGAGGGGAGACCGGCTTTGCTGACACAGGCGTCGGTAATGAAGTTGCAGTTAGCCCCACCGTCGAGGAGGGCCCGAAACTTCACTGTCGATGCGCCGAGGGAGATGGATATGAACTTGAGCTGGAACTGGGCGGTTCCGGCACAAGCGGCGGAGATCATGTTGTTGAGGCAGCATTGTTCGGTGCCTAGTCTAACAAGCTGGTCGTGTCGCGCTTATTCCTCAACAACATCAAAGAAGGTGATGTGAGAGGGATTAGGGAGAAGGGTAGAGGAACACGTGCCGGTGATGAGCTCGACCGACTGGGTGAGAGACGTCGTCGGGAGGGGGGCAGGCAGCGTAAACTGTGACGCCTAAGTGTCATCCGGTGGGGTATGTGTCACTGGAGGTGGGTGTGGCAAACGGATCGTCGATGCCAGTAGAGGAGCCGGTTGACTAGTTGTCAACGCCGAGGCGGGGTCGCGAGAGGCAAGGGGATGGTGTCAATATGTGGGAGGGTCCCGATGTCGCGAATGGTGGGGTGGCGGACATGACGGGCCGAGGTCCTGTGGAGCGGGGAGCCTGTCGGGTGAACTGGCTAGTGTTGGGGCAGCTGGTTTGCTGGTGGCCCAACTGACGACACTGGAAATAGCCATTGTTGGTTTGGAGGTAGGCACGTTCCTCCGGGGTGAGCTTCGTTAAGCGAGGGGGCGAGGTGGAAGAAGATGCGCGAGCCTGGCGGTTCCTGGGCTCCATCCCGAGGAGATGGATGGTGTTGACTTCTTCCTGGGTGAAAGATGGGGGGTCGGTAGAAGTGGACTCGATGTCGGGGTTGAGTGTGGAGAACTCATCTAACATCCTGGTGGTGAGGGTGTCGTTGGAAGCAATGCTGTGGAAGAAACGTGTTCGAGAAGGGACGGAGGGGATGGCGACCTTGTGAGTTGAAAGGAGACTGTCGATTTGGAGAATGCGGGTCAATGAGGATGTAACTCTCTTTCTTAGCCAACCTTTTCCGATAACCTTTTCTGATAACCCCAATGAGGATGTAACTCTCTTTGTTAGCCAACTCCAACAAGCTTTCTACCTCCACACCGTCCCCGTCATCCACTGGCTACACATAGCCGATACACGACTCCTCACCAACTCCGCCCGCTGGTGGCTCACCGAAGTCGCCAACCGCCAACTCAGTGGCCAGCCATCGCACTCCTTCCTCGAGTGGGGTACACTGATCACAACCACCTTCCGCCCACAAAAGACCGTCAATGATTGCATCGACCAATTATGCCGCCTTCGCCAAAATGGGCCCACCAAACGCTACGTCCAACATGTCCGCTCACTACGACAACATATTCCTGTCCACCTGATCATCGACGACACTTTCATCTCCCACCTCAAGCAGGTCTCCAACCGCGAAATCACCGCTGTCCTTGTCTAAGAGTCCACCATACATAACTAGGGACGTGGGTAGCGAGTGCGATGAAGTCGAGGGTGGGTGAAGTCATGTTGGGGGTTTGTTGGGAGGAGGGCGTTCGAGGGATGTTGGGGGAGGGCGGGGTGTGACATGGCGGTGACCTGAGAGTAGGTGGGCATCCGGTGGGAGGTGATGATGGATGAGGTCGAGATGGGTTGTGAGAGGGGAGGTGTGGGTACGGATCAGGTGTCGATGGGATGGTGCTGCGATTGGGCACTGAGAGGGGTGGGGGAGGGAGGAGGTGGGTGGGACACGCCAGTGGTGGCTGTTGGGATGGGGTTGGTGGAGGCTGGGTTGGCGGATGGACCAGCGGTGGAGGTGGAGATCGAAGCGGTGGAGGTGGGAGTGGCGGATGGACCGGCGGTGGAAGTGGAGGTAGAAGGGGTGGAGGTGGGAGTGGGAGTGAGGAAGGGAGGATGTGGGGGCAAACTAGAACCCGACGTGGAAGTGGGAATCATGGTAGTGACCACTTGGATGGAAGGGGTCAATGTTTGTGCCATGTTATCTATCCGGCTGGAGAGGCCGAAGATGGAGGTGGCGAAGGAGGATTGGAGGGCATGGATGGTGTCTTGCTGAGTAGGGAGATGTTTGAGGGGTGGCTTCAGGTGCAGGTTGTTCTGACATGAAGTCACGAAGCAGGGTGTCCTTGGATGTAGTGTCAATGGCGCTCATGTTGATGGTTGAGGAACCGTCCTATTCAATTTGAAATGAATTTATGGTAATTTCAATGAATTTAAAATATTTAATACGGTCTTAATCTAGGAAGATTCTCATGACCGGCCGGTCACCCGGGCATGACGCCC